ATGTTTACATATTTTAGGCGCAGGCGCCCTACTACACTAATGTAACATTCTAAACCCAGGGTCCTATTCCTAGCTGCGAGCCTGGATCACAGCCAGACCTGGGACCAGCTAGGCCTGGGACCCACACTTAAATAGACCTACTTTTTTTGCTTCAAACTTCTGTCCATATCTTTTTTGGTTATTGATGCATACAGGCAAAATGAACCCCTTGATTTTGGTAACACTTGTTCATAAAATTTTCACCACTTTGTGTGGCTAACGAGCAATGTAAAAGCCCATGAATGCTACCTTCTCTTTAAAAAATCTTTTTTTAAAGTATATTTAGTCACCAACATTATAGATTCTCTGTGCTATAGCTTGGTTGGCTTTTTAAACTTAAAGAAATTATAACATTGTGATTTATAATAAATACGTATTTGATTTTAGCCCCCATTTCTGGCACAGAGCTAAAACCCTTGGAATTTCCTGTGTGATGAGAGCAATAAAAGTGTTTTGTTATGTTAATGGATGACCTTTGGACCTCACCTAAGGATGGCAGCTGGTTGCCAGGAGATTCATCAGCGTAATTAGAAGGTTAAAACTTTCAGTCCCACACCCTCCTTTACTTCTAGCGAGGAAAGGGGGTGGTTGAATCAATCACTAATGGCCACAGTTTAATCTTTCATGCCTATGTAATGAAGCTTCCATAAAACCCAAAAAGACTGCATTCAGAGAGCTTCCAGGTTGGCGAACATGTGGAGAATTGGGGTAAGAGGTGCACTAGGAGAGGATACGGAAGCCCTGTACCATCTTGCCTTATTATTTTCATCTGGATGTTCATCTGTATCTTTTATAATAAACAGGTAATCCAGTAAATAAAACACTTTGAGTTTTGCAAGCTGCTTTAGAAAATTAATTGAATCCAAGGAGGAGTCGTAGGAACCTCTGATTTATAGCCAGTCAGTCAGGGTCAGAATTACAGGTAACAACTGACATTTTCAGCTGACATTTTCAGTGGGAGGGTTGAAGGTTTGAGGGGTGAGGACACAATCCTGTAGAACTGACTGAACCCTAAACCTGTGGAAAATGGCGCTATCTCTGGGCAGAGAGTATCTGAATTGAGTTGAATTTTCAGATACCCTGCTGGCATCCATGAATTGCTTCTTGGTGGTGTGGAAACCCTCCCTTCCCTCTACCTACAGAAATTTGGGTCTCAGAACACTCATTTAAAAATATTCTAGGCTTTCACTAAGAAATAAAAATATGATTTGCATATAGATCTTTGATTATGTCACTGAAAAACAGAATAAAACCTACAATGCTCTGAAAGAAGAGGAGCAGAGATTGTCAATGTGGTTTTACATTTGTCATTTTAACTGGGAACCAGAGCAGAGTAGAAAAGCTCTGGTTTTCTACTTGTTGCAAAGGCCACTGGCCTAGTTAAACTGTTGTGAACTGGGGCATTTGAGTCTGAGTAATTCAGGACTTTTATTTTCAGCACATGTCCCCAATCATTCCTGTAGAAATGAAGGCCATCTCTTGACTCCAAATGTACCATTTACCCTTAGCCCATAATCTGTACCTTTCATCCACCCAATAAAGACAGAAAAGTAAAAAACAAACAAACAAACAAACAAACAAGAAACTGTTACATTCTCGGATAAAGGAAGTTGAAAGCATTGGGAAAAAGAGAAAGTAAAATTTTTGCCAGAGTTTATTAAACCAAAAAGATACATTTCTAGTTGTATACCCTAAATGTGCTTCCTTTAACTTTATCATTTGTTCTGTAACATACCCTACTGACCAAAAATAAAATTCACCATTTATTATCAAAGAAAATATCTCCATTAATACAAATTCAAATAACACATACACTACTTGGAATGAAGAAAGAGGGCTATATTTTGTGAGATATTTCTAAACAAATGCTAACTGGATTTAAATATGCATAACTTATTTTAACTAGAGTTCAGAAATGGACCAGGAGTAATACAAGTACCACTTTAATCCTGTTAGACATTCTAGATTCTTCTTTTATCTTCTTACTGTATTATTATTCCCTAGCAGGTTAAGGACTTTGTCTCTATCTAGTATTGGCCAAGTTCGAGGGGCAAGGATAAACCTGAGTGGAATAAATAGTAGAAATGTTGATGGCCATAAAGATGTAATGAAGTTGTTAGCTCAGTAACAGGCAATGTTATATTGTGGTTATGGACTCTGAAATCAAGCTTTCTGGATTCAAATCCTAGTTATTGGCTGAATAACTTTGGGAAAGTGATTTAGCCTCTCTGTCATTCAGTAGCCTCATCTATAAAATGGCAGTAATAAGAATACTTCATAGAGTTATTGTAAGGATTGAGTGAGTTAATAATGTAAAAGTATCTAGGTCAACTCATAAGAAGTTTTTGATAAATATCAAAATTATGAAAATTTAATATATGCATTTTCTCATGTTATTATTTTTCCAAAATATTTTCATGTAGTCACTTAGCATTCAAGTGAGAGGATACGGAAGCCCTGTACCATAGAGATGAACAATAATTGATATAACTCACTGCTCATTATAATAATTTTTAGATTGCTTTAAATTTTTCAATTACATATATTCTTATTTTCTTCAGATAAACCTTAAAATCACTTTGCCAACTTCTAAGAAAATACATTCCTAGAATTTTAATTGAAATTCTATTAAACCATACATTTATTTTGGGGAGATTCTTTTACAAAGTCTAATGTTCTCATCCTGGGATATAGTATATCTATCCACATATTGAAGTCTTAAAAAGTGCCTATAATATTTTCATAACAATTATCTATGTTTATTTTACATTAATTCTTAGATAATTCATAATTCTGCCATGAGATACTATTAAATATAATTTATTATTTATTAGTGTTACAAAATATTTAGTATTTTGTTTAGTAGAATTTTTATGCCAATGTTATAATTTTTATAGTAAAAAAAAAATCAAAACTTTTTTGGGTATGTCTGTTTTCATGTATAGAAAAACCTCAACCAATACCCAGAATTTAGAGCAATTTTTACCTGCAACTTATTTTTAGTAAAAGCACTTTCTAAAAGGTAAAATATTAAGTCTATAAAGTAAGTATATCTCTAAGAAATAGGATAATATTATAATCACTACAATAAACAGAATTCTTGCTTTATCTCTCTTAAATGATGGGTCAGTAAGACCATTTCAGTTCAAACAGAAAGAGCAAGAACTTAAGAAAACTCACTGTTTAATTAACAGGTTCATTAATTGTTGTGAACTACAGAAACCTACCATTTACTACTGTTCTGTATTTTTTCTACACACTTGTACCTTAGCATTCTTTTCATACTTCTGTAATTGTCTTATTTACTTATTATTTACTTGTTTTTTGTCTATTTTTCTGAATGCAGTTTTTATTAGGACTACAGCCTTGGTCGTCTTGTTTACCACAATGATAGATACTCAATCATAATTTTATTTATTTATTCATTCATTTGATAAATACGTATTAATCTTCTATTCTCTGTCAGGAACTTTTGCATATAGACAAGGGATCTCTGGCCTCAAAGTGTTTATAGATAGAAAGCAAAAAAGTTAATAATATAATTTTAGGTAATTGTAAGAGCTATTTGGGGAATAAGGTAATGGAATAAACAGAGCAAAGTGGGTAGGAACACTATTTTAGAAAAAAAAAATAGTAAATGAGGGCCTCTCTAAGAAGGTAAAATACAAACACAGAACTAATACAAAAGATTTGGAAGAAGAATGTTTCAAGCAGATTGAATAGTAAAAAGATACTGAGGTGGATAAACTTGGTGGTTGGTGGTTCAGAAGTGGCAATAAAATTAGTGAGCGAGTGAAAGAAAGAAAGGAGAGGAGGTCAGGAAGGCAATCATGGTCAGATCATATAGGCAAGGTCTTCTCTTAACTAGCACTTTCCACACTTTGTTGTGCATATGAGTTGAATATATATGTTAAGAGCTCAGGGGAGAGTGTTAGATGGGAGATGGAAATTTGGGAGTCATTAGATTTTAAAGGTATGCAATTAAATGAGCTCATCTAGCAAGTGAGTATCGATCAAAAAGATATTTGAGGTTAAGAAGAGGAGACTGAAAACAATTCACCAGTGAGGTAAGGAAAAAAAGGGAAAAAAAAACAACAACAAATAATGTGTGATGATGCTTCAAAAGCCTAATGAAAAAGTAAATGCTTCATTCAGCACAAGGGCTGGAGGAAATTAGTGAGAAGGGTAATCAAATACCTCTGAGAGTTCAAATAAAATGAATAAGAATTGGTCATTGGATTTGGCAAGATATGGAAGCTGTTGCTGACTTGACAGAGATGGTCTTAGTGAATAAGGTGATGATATCTTGACTGGACTGTAAGAAAAAGAATGGGTGATATAAAGTGGAGGCGGAAACAACAGACAATTTCTTTGATTTTTGCTACAGACCATAATTAGAGAGCGATGTTGAATCAAAAGATTTTTATTTTAAGATAGGAGATATTGAAACATGTTTATGTGCTGATATGAATAATAGGTCACAAGGAAAACAACGGTTATGCATGTGGAAGGGCTGGCTTTGGAGGGGAGAAGAGACAGTGACAAAAGGGAATGCAAATCATATATGTATGTATGTGTGTATATATGTATTATAAAGATATATGTATATGTATTATAAAGATACATGTAGGTTGGTAGATCTTGTGGTAGGACTATGGAACGTTTTTCTTCTAGATGTTTTTATTTTTCAATAAAATAAGAAGAAAAGTCATTAACCAACAGTGAGAAATAAGAGAGAAATATTGGAGATTTGAGCAGTGAAGAAATGGTGTAACATAATTATCTTAGAATGTGTGAAAGCAAATTTAGCAGAGTAACGTATTAGGATTCAAAAGGCAGTACTGAGGAGTCATTTAAGATAGAGTACTACAATTAAAGTGAAAAAAAGTGGAATTTCCTCTAGTCGCATTTATCTATTTAGGGATTAAATGGTAAGGTTACTGAGGATATATGCTGAGGAGAAATTATAGCAATGGACCATGGCATCTAAACCAAGTAAGAAGGAAGTGAGGGCTTAAAAATGTGGTGAGTTAATGCATTGTCCGAATAAGATCAAAGAACAGTTGCTAAAGTAAGTGAATTGAAAGACAGGAGGTTATTTGAATCTCAGGTAAATAAAACCCTATATAAGGCACTATTGCAATTTTCCGAAGGTATTGGACTGTGTGACTTGAACCATGTGCATACAGCTTAAGCTACCATGAAGTTATCTTGTAAAGCTAATTATGCATCCAGTCAGCATATGATTTTACTCACTTACACTTCCTAAGAAATACATCTATTGAGAAAAGCAGGGTCAATTAATACAGTTTTATCCCTTTTATTTTAAAGTATGTTTAACTGTTTAAGGCACCAAACTGAAAAGCAAAACATCATTCAAACCAAGCATGCTATTAAAGCATTAGCCTTAAGTGCTATTTTCTCTTTCTGCTGTTATTCTCTCAATAGCAATAAAACAGAAATCGTATTATTGAATTTGAACGCTAATACATTTCCAGGATAATCTGAACAGCAAACAAATAAAATCTTGTAACTCCATCTCCAATACTCTTCAGAAAACAGTTAGGAGGGCAAAAAGTCCATAAAGTAAGGCACAAGGATAGGCAATGAGAAGCTGTTGTCCTTCCATGTCCAAGGCTGAAATGAAGATTTTGGAAGCTGAGAGACTACACCAGCCAATGATGATCAGTGCTGACACAGTTCCAATTGTGCCCCTATAGCAAAGACAAAAGAGATGATTACCTTACATCAGGAGAAAAAGATATTTGGATCAGAGCTGCCTCTGAAATGTGCTTATACAGTATTTATAACTACTTTCTCCATTTGTAAAATGAGGGTGAGGAATCATATGAACTCAAAGGCCTTCACCAGTTAGAAAATATTTGAGTCAAATTCACCCTCAGAGGTTAAATAGTTCATGCTTAGGTAAAACTCGAATTAATAGAAAGAGAATTCACCTGTAGTTACTCTCATATGTCAACATTCAAGTCACAACTCCTGAAATTCTTTTATATAAACTATCTTTAGAAACTTCTTTTATAGATACAGATATTTTCCTTCAATACTTTTTTCCTAAATTTACCCAAGATATGGGCCGAAAGATAGCTGGACTTGCATTCTAGTGGGATGCCTAGTCCCCACTGCTCCCAAGTCCACTTCCCAGGTTTTTGTCTTGAGCCTACACAGTTCAAGTAGGGAACACATGGAAAGGCACATATATGCGTTGCCTCCCACTTCACCACTAAAGATTCCTTTTGTATGTGTACATGTTGATTTTTTAGAATACTGAAATAGATTTGTTCAAATTGGTGCCTTCAAGAAGTAACTGTGGAGGCAATTCTTTAAGAAGAAATGGGGAAGTAACGTAATTAAGTCTAGCTACCTTGGGAGTAAAATAGGAGGTGTAGGTGGAAAGAGCGAATTTCTTTTCTTACATGCAAACTGAATATATTACTTAGGAAAATATTACATAAGAGTTAGGAGAGGTCTTGGAATATATCTAGTTGCCAGCTATAAAGCAATGAAGTGACTTGACAAAAATTGCATAGTAAAATGGGCATTAGGTCAGAATCTCCTAACTCCTAGCACACTGTTCTTTTCACTATTAAACTATACTGCCTCACTTGATCCTGGTTAAATCTGAAGTCGAACATTGTGTTAACTATTTGTGACAATGACAGGAATACCTACTTATAATAATTTAACCAAAGCAAAACAAATGAAAAACTGTACAATATAGCTTATAATGCCTTAGATTATAAATAAATAAAAATATTTTAAAAGCACTCTAATAAATATTATATTCATTGGTTTAATTAATATCAGAAATAATTTCTAGAGTGATTTAATTTATATGTTGTCATCAACAAAATTATAAAATTATATGTGATTAATTTGAATGATGTACTAATATGCCCAAAAGGTCAATTTCAGTGTAATGGTCTTAGGGGTGAGATAGTTTATTCCTCTTTCATATAATTTAAAGGATTCTAAATCATCCCTCAAAATTTCAGAATGAAAATCTAATGAAAAAGGTTCAGATTTCTGATGATTCTCAAAATCCAAGAGTTTTAGTTTTTATTTTCTTCTAATAATGCATAGTCATTTAAAATGCCCCAAATTTGCTGGAAATAACATTTAAAACTTAGAATTTTTAAATGGTAAATAATTATAGTATTCTTTGGCAAAACATTTGAAAAAAATAGAAGTCCTAGAACTGAGCTCTGTATTAACTTGTCAAATGTTGGTAACAAACAACATAGTAAGTAGAACAGCTTGCTGAGGAATATGATATACAAAGGATGAAAGTTTTTCATGGATAAGACTTAGTTTACTTACACTGCATTTATACATTCTAGGTATCTATTTTCTGTTGTATTTTTCTTTTTTAAATGTTGAAGAATACTCGCTGATAAAACAAAAGTTTGCTCTAAATTATTCTCAAGAATGTTACTTTAAAAATGAGACCATATTAAAACAAAAGAGCGTTCCTAGTAATGCTATGAAAAAATTATATAAATTATATTCAAGTAAAAATATTAAAGGCTTTTTAAAAATGTCTATCTTTGGCATTGGTAAATTCTTACATAATATCCAATGTAGGGTTAATAACCTAAAATGTACATCATCCAATAAAAAAATGCAAATTGAATCTCCTTCGGATATGGAAGAATCAGCACTGATGGCAAGTGTTTATTTCTAATTATTTTAGAGCAGAGTAGGTGACAAAGGATTATGTAATTACTTGTTTATCACCAACCAAAGTGGTTGTGATATTCATATGCCCTGGGAAAGTGCCTGACAAAAACATATCTACTGGATCCTTATTAATAGCTTTGAATTACAAATGCTAACTTCCTAGGAAGTAAAAAAAGAAAAAAATATTGACTGAGCATATATGCCATAAATTTCTCAAGCGTTAATATCTTCATCAGGGTTCTTGGGGCTTTTGCACTGCATGGAGCCCAGCTGAAAAAGAACAGTTGCTTCCCACCTAGAAGACAGAGTGTCTTAAAGTTGAGGCAACTTGTTAGCATTCACCAGGCATTTACTCTTCCCAAATCAAACAAGTAAATTTTCTATAGTTGTTATATTACCCATGACAATAGTTCATATTAAAGAAAGTGACAACTTACAAATTTCCATTTTTTAAGGTTATCTGGTTTAATTTTTTTAATCATCAAAACAGGAACAGCATCTGCACCAAAACTGACCTACTTTCCTGAATCTGTATGTGGCTTTTAACAGTCATTGGTTTTCCCAATTCCACTACCAAAACGATCTGAAAGAGGTTAACTGCTGCACTGGTATGGCAAGACAGTGATGATTGTGCATGTAGGGTCAATTAGTGCATACAGAGACTTACTGCAGTGAAAAGAAGATGGCACAGCTGGACAGGATGACCATGGGCAGTAGGCAGTAACCCAGTACACTTGCCACGCAGCCATAGGACACCCCTGAAGAGCTCATCAAGTTTAGTAAAGCGCAAATCCCTAGGCAGCCAATGGCACTCATGCCATACACATAACCAAACTGAACTTTTCCTGCCTGGAACAAAGAGAAGAAAATAGTTTGAATACAAAACAAACATCAAGAGGAAATCAGAATTGCAATACATCAGCTTTGAATATATTTTCATCATTATAATTATCCATACCTCAGAATTATCTCATCCAATTAAAAATTAAGTGGAATGTTTCTCTAATATATCAAAACAATTTGAAATTGTTACTGTTTTCCAAGTGGAGTAAACCCACCCAATGGAGCAGTGCATCACTGAGGTGCTTTTTTAAGTATGTCCATTAGCATCATTAGCATTATTTCACAAAGTAGCCATAAGAATACAAAAGATATTCAATGAGAACTTGTGACTAATGCAGGAGAGAATTTTGCCAGCATAGCCCAAGGACACCATGACAAAAAAATTAGTAGTGACCAACTTCCCCAACTGCGGAGGAAGAAGAATTGAAAATAGCTGGACAGTTTTGAACACTAAAATGATCATAACATTCTCCATTTCCCTTAATTAATCATAAAATAAATATCTCTTTCTTTAAGACATAATGACTTCACAGAAAACAGCCATGGAGAAGAAAAAAATCACAGAACTGAAAGGAACCTTAAAAATCAAGGAATTTCAGTCAAGATAAAGGGCTAGGCAAAAGCAGGGTTCGACTTCTTCTATGACCGCATTAAAATTATAACCAAATTATAAAACAAATGACTTGGAGAACCATCTGAAGCCTAGATGATCATAACTCATACATCTGAGCCTATAAAAGAAAAGCCATATTGAGACTGGTAGGAGGGGCGGAGATGCAAAGTGGGCTGGTCCCACACCTGTGTGTGGTGTTTGAGCACCAGGAAGGAGAGAGCAACTGCAGAGGCTCCCTGAAGGAATGAGGGATCCTAGCCTCACACAGGGGGTCCCCAGCCCAGGGTTCCAGTCCCAGGAAGAAGAATTCCCACAAAAACTGACTGTAAAAATCAGTGGGGATTTGGGCTGTCTGAGTAAGACAGAAAGAATCTGAAAACTCACACATTCCCTTTTAAAGGGCTCAGTCACAGATTCACTTGCTCACACACACTCACCCTGTGGATAGTCAGCAACTCAAGAGGGCAATACAAATGGGAAGAGACTGAGTAGTCTGGTGCTAAAGCAAGGGCTTGAGGGACATCCATCATTGCTTCTTTGTTGGGCCCTCTTCCAGGGCAGTTTGCAGATGGGTGGCATCTTGCCTGGGTTGAGCCTTTTCCCAACTCGGCCAATTCTAAAGTAGTATTGGCAGTGTGAGATCAGCTCACTTCACCTTAGTCTCCTTGAGACCCCAAACACCCAATCCGCAAATTGCCTTTGTCAGGCCCGTTGCCAGGCAGCCAGCCCCACCTAGCACCTTCCCTGGCCTGCTCATTTTTGGGCTGGCAACAGCCCTGAGCTCAAGCTGCCCGCATGCAGCGTGCACAATACAGGCAAGACTTTTAGCAGCGGCCCACTGGTGCCAGCCCTAACTGCAGTGTCTCTTGGGAGGATCACTGGGGTCTACCAGCCAGAGGCAGATGATGGCTGGCCTCGCTATGATCTGTGACTTTTGCGGGAGACAGTGGCAGCAATCTGCATTGGCTCGACAAAATTGGCTCGCTCCGCCCCATGCCTCCCTGAGACCCTGTACCACCTAACCAACAAATTGCCTATGGTGGGCTCATTGCTAGGCAGCTAGCTCCACCCTGTGCTTTCGCTGGAACACAATTTCGACAGCAAACAGCCCTTAGCTTGTGCAGCTGTGAGTGGCCAGTGCACCCCAGGAGAGACTTTTGGTGGTGGGCCACAAACTCCTTCCCAAGCTATAGTATTTCATGAACAGATCTTGGGTGTCAGAGACAGGCAGCAGCTGGCCTTGCAACAACCTGAGCCTTTTAAAGGAAGCCTCAGATTCAGCATGAGAATAAGCCTGATTCTGTATTGGCCAGGTGAAATCTATATACTTTACCCTGGTGACTCCCTGAGTTCCTGCCTCATCCAACGCCCATACCAACCAAAGGTTCTTAAAGCTGCAGAGACTTACAAACAAATGACAGGCAGCCTCAGGTTTTAAGGTGCACTGGTCCTTTGGCTGAGCCATCCCAGGGTCAGTACTGGTGGTAACCTTGGCTCACAATGTGGTCTCTCCCACTTGCCTCCAGATCCAGCACAGGCAGCAAACATTCATGGATTTTTTGTAGCTCCTACTGGGCATCGTGAACAATCAAAAGCAGCAATTGACTTTGACCTACACAGGAGCCCCTCTCAAGGACCCCAGAACCAACACATGTGGAGGCTAGCGTCAGGCCACAACAAAGCACCACATAACTAGCCGCATAATCAGTACACCCAAAGGTTGTTCTCAATAGGTACATGAGCCTGCTGGAGTGAATTCCACTCCATGGGGTCAGCCCCCACACAGCGGCTCATATTCTCTGGGCATGGCCAATCTCCACAGGCAGTCAACCCAAGAGTCATTCTCATCCTGTGACATGCTAACAACAATCAAGGATTAGCTACAAAAAAGAACACACACAACCACACATGAGGAACATACGCAAAACCCCCAGCAAAGGTGATCAGGGAGACTGAATCACTGGGCCACACAGGACAACTACTGCATAAGGCCACCTGGCAAGACTGGGAGACATAACAAATCTTCTCAATACATAACAATGAACACAGAGGGGCACCTAAAATGAGAAAACAAACAAACAAAAAAACAAACAAAAAAAAACATGGCATAAATGAAACAATGGGAGAAAAGCCCAGAAAGAAATAAACAAAATGGAATCGAGCAACCTACTAGAGACAGAGTTCAAAGCACTGGTAATAAGGATGTACAATATACATAGGGGGAGAATAGATGATCTCAGTGAGGACTTCAATAGAGAGATAGTAAGCATAAAAAAAAAGAATATGGAAACTGTAAAACAATCAGAAATGAAGAATACAATAACTGAAGTGAAAAGTATCCTAGAAGGAATCGACAATAGAAGAAATGAAGGAGAGGATTGAATCTGTGAGTTGGAAGACAAGATAGCAGAAAACACCCAATCAGAATAGCAACAAGAAAAAAGAATAAAAACAAAAAAATGAGGAAAGTTTGAGACCTCCAGGACAACATCAAATGCACTAAAATCCACACCATAGGGGTACCAGGAGAAGAGAGAGAGCAAAGGATTGAGAAGCTATTTGAAGAAATAATGATTAAAAAAAAACAAAAACTTCCTTAACCAGCAAAGGAAATGGACATACACTTCCAGGAAGCACACAGAGTTCCAAATAAGAGGAAAACAAATAGACTCACACCAAGACACATCATCAATAAAATTAAAGAGAAGGAGAGACTATTAAAAGCAGCAAAAGAAAAGCAGCTAGTGACTTATAAGGGCATTCCTATTAGACTGTTGGCTGATTTTCAACAGAAACTTTGCAGGCTGGAAGAGATTGGCACAAAACATTCAATGATGAAAAACAAGAAACTACACCAAGACTACTCTACACAGCAAGGTTATCAATTAAAATTGAAGGTGAAATACAGAGCTATTCAGATAGGAAAAGCTAAAGGAATTCATCACCAACAAGCCAGAATTATAATAAATGTTAAGGGGACTTCTGTAAAAAGACATAGGAGGGGAAACTCATAAATATGAATAATAAAATGGCAATAACTATGTACCTATCAATAGTCACTTTAAATGTAAATGGATTTAACGCTCCAATCAAAAGACATAGAGTAGCTGAATGGATAAGAAAACAAGGCCTAGACATACATTGCCTATAAGATATCCACTTCAGATCAAATGACACACACACAGACTAAAAGTAAAAGGATGGAAAAAGGTATCTCATGCAAATAGAAATAAAAAAAAATCTGGGTTGCAATACTTACATCAGACAATATAAACTTTAAAACAAAAGCTATAATAAGAGACAAAAAAAGAGCATTACATAATGATAAAGGGATCAATACAATAAGAGGACATAACCCTAGTAAACATATATGCACCAAACATAGGAACACCTTCACATTTAAAACAATTCTTGACCAACAGAAAGAGAGAGATTGACAGCAATACCCTCATAGTAGGAAACTTTAACACGTCATTTACACCAACAGAGAGATATTCCAGACAGAAAATCAACAAAGAAACAGCAGCTTTAAATAACACAGTAAATCAGAAAGATTTAATTCATATTTTAGAGCATTTTACCCCAAAAGCAGAATATACATTCTTTTTCAAGTGCACATGGAACATTTGCCAGGATAGAGCACATGTTAGGCCACAAAACAAGTCTCAGGAAATTTAAGAGGACTGAAATAATATCAAGCATCTTCTCTGACTACAATGATATGAAACTAGAAATCAATTACAAGAAAAAAACTGGAAAATACACAAACACATGGAGGCTAAACAACATGCTCCTAAACAATGAATGGGTTAACAATGAGATCAAGGAGAAAATTAAAAGATACCTGAGACAAATGAAAATGAAAAACAACTTAAAAAATATGGAACATAGTGAAAGCAATTCTAAAAGGGAAATTAATAGCAATACAGGCCTACTTCAAGACACAAGAAAAATCCTAAATAAGTAATCTAACCTTACACTTACTAAAAGCACTAGAAAAAGAACAGCAAACAAAACCCAAAGTGAGTAGAAGAAGGAAATAATATAGGTCGGAGTGGAAATAAATGAAATAGAGTCTAGAAAAATAATACAAAAGATCAATGAAACCGAGAGCTGGTTCCTAGAAAGGATAAACAAAACTGATAAAACATTAACCAGACTCACAAAGAAAAAAAAAAGAGAGAGAGAGAAAAGACCCAAATAAATAAAATCAGAAATGAAAGAGGAGAAGTAACTATGGACTCCACAGAAATTCAATGGATTCTAAAAAAAAAAAAAAAAAAAACCACTATGAACAATTACATGTCAACAAATTGGATAATCTGAAAGAAATGAATATATTCCTAAAAATATAAAATCTCCTAAGACTGAGTGAAGAAGAAATAGAAAATCTGAACCAATGAAATCAAATCAGTAATCAAAAAACTTTCAAAAAATAAAATCCTGGACCAGATGACTTCATAGGTAATTTTACCAATCATCTAAAGAAGAATTAACATCTATCCTCCTCAAACTATTCCAAAAAATTCAAGAGGGAATTCTCCCTAACTCTTTTTATAAAGCCACAAATAACCATGATTCCAAACCAAACAAAGACAATACAAAAAAGAAAACAATAGGCCAATATCTCTTATGAACATAGAAGCAAAAATTCTCAACAAAATATTAGCAAATCGAATTCATCAATACATTAAAAATATCATACACCACAATCAGGTGGGATTAATTCCCAGAATGCAAGGTTGGTTGAATATCCACAAACCAATTAATGTGATATACCACATTAACAAACTGAAAGATAAAAATCATATAATCTTATCAATAGATGCATAAAAAGTGTTTGACATAAAGCAGCATCCATTTATGATAAAAACTTGCAGAAAAATGGGAATAGAAGGAACATACCTCAACATAAAAAGGCCATATATGACAAACCTATAGCATCATATGCAATGGAAAAAAAGACTAAATACATTTTCTTTAAGATCAGGAACAAGACAAGGATGCCCACTTTCACCATTTCTATTTAAATAGTATTGAAAGTCCTAGCTACAGCAATGAGACAAGAAAGAGAAATAAAAGGCATTCCGATTGGAAAGGAAGAAGTAAAATTGTTGTTATTTGCAGATGACATGATACTACATGTAGAGAACCCTGAAGATTCCACCAAAAAACTGTTAGAACTGATCAATGAATTTGGTAAAGTAGCAGGATACAAAATTAACATTCAGAAGTCAGTGGCATTTATATATACTAATCATGAATTATTAGAAAGATAAATTAAGAAAATAATTCCATTTATGATTGCATCAAAAACAATAAAATACCTAAGAATCGAATTAACCTAGAAGGCAAAAGACCTGTTCATGAAAAAATTATACATCATTGAAAAAAAGAAACTGAAGAAGATATGAATAAATAGAAGCATATAATGAATTCATCGGTAGAAAAAAAATCAATATTTTTTAAATGGCCACACCACCCAAAGCAATGTATGGATTCAGTGCAGTCTCTATCAAAATACGAATGGCATTTTTAAGAAAACTTGAACAAATATTCCAAAAATTTATATGAAATCATAAAAGATCCCAGACAGCCACATTAATCTTGAGAAAAAAAGAACAAAGTTAGAGGTATCACACTACCGACATCAAACTATACTATTAAGGCTATAGTAATCAAAACAGCATGGTACTGGCATAAGAACAGACACATAGATCATTGGAACAGGATAGAGAGCCCAGAAATAAACCTATGCCTATTTGGTCATTAAACCTATGACAAAGGAGGCAAGAACATGCAATTTGGTAAAGACAGTCTCTTCAACAAATGGTGTTGGGAAAACTGCACAGATACATGAAAATGAAACTGGACCACCTTCTTACACCATATACAGGAATAAACTCAAAATGTATTAAAGACTTAAATCTAAGATCTGAAACCATACAAAGTCTAGAAGAAAATATCAGCAGTAAACTCTCTCATATTGCTATTAGAATTTTTTTTTCTTATATATCTTCTTGGGTTAAGGAAATGAAAAGGACTACATCAAACTAAAAAGGTTTTGCACAGAAAAGGAAACCATCAACAAAACGAATAGACGATCTACTGAATGGGAGAAGAAATTCGCCTATGATACATCTGACAAGGGGTTAACATCTAAAATTCAAAAAGAACTTACACAACTCAACAAACAACGTAATTTAAAAATGGGCAAAAGACCTGAATAGGTATTTCCCCAAAGAGGAAATACAGATGGCCAATAGACATATGAAAAGATGCTCAAGGTCACTAATCATCAGAGAAATGCAAATTAAAACCCCAATGAGATATCACCTCATACCTTTCAGATTGACTATTATCATTAAATCAAAATACAAGTATTGGTGAAGATGTGGAGAAAAGGGAATCCTTGTGCACTGCTGGGATTGCAAATTGGTAAGCCACTATGGAAAACAATCTAGAGTTTCCTCAAAAAATTAAAAATAGAATTATCTTTTGAACGAACAATTACACTTCTGGGTATGTATCCAAAGAAAACAAAACCTCTAGTTGGTAAAAATCTATGTGCCTCTATGTTCACGGCAGCACTATTCACAGTACCCAAGATATGGAAGCAACCTAAGTGCTCATCAACAGTTGATTGGATAAAGAAGTTATGGTACATATATACAATGGAATATTACTCTGCCATAGAAAATGGTATCTTAATATTTGCAACAACACAGATGGACCTAGAGGGTATTACGCTGAGTAAAATAAGTCAGACAGAGAATGATAAATACCATAGAATTACACTTATATGCAGAATCTAAGGAAAAAAAGAAATGAACAAACTAAATGAAAACAAACTCACAGATACAGAGAACAAACTGGTGATTGACAGAGGGGAGAGGGGTTGGGGACTGGCTGAAAAAGGTGAAGGATAAAGAAGCATAAATTAGTAGTTGAGAGATGGTCACGGGGAAGGGGAGCATGGCATAGGGAATGCAGTCAGCAGTAATGTAATGGCTGTGTACAGAGCCAGAGGGAAGATAGAGTAACCAGGGGGATCATCTGATAAACTATATAAATGTCGAACCAATGGACTGTATACTTGAAACTAATTTTAAAAATACATACATATATATAAATAAAGGCTGGTAAATAAGTTTTTAAAAAGTACAAATTCGTAGTTATAAAACAGTCATAGGAATGCAGAATATAGCATTGGAAATATAGTCAATATTATTGTAATGGCTATGTATAGTGCCAAATGAGTGCTAGAGTAATCGGAGAGATCACTTCATAAATTATATAAATGTCTAGCCAGTATACTGTACATCTGAAACTAATTTAAAATAAAAAATAATAATAACAGTAAAAAAAAAAGGAATCACTTAAACCTTTTTTTTTTCTTCAAAATGAAGAAATAAATTCCTAGAAATAGGAAACAAAAGGTTTAAGATCATACCTAGAGGCAAAGTTAGGGGTAGATCCAATTTTCTCACTTTCAGTTGAGTTCTTTGCCTAGATTGCTTTTTACTTAAAAGAAAGCCTATTTAAATAACTCCAACTAACATTATACAACCCAAAAAAATCTTAATGGAATTAATGCTTTCTTTTAAGAGATGGTAACAGTAATATTTTCTGCAGGGAAACAAACAGCTGTTATATTACAAATTACTTGAAAAAGAAAAATGAGTTAATATATTAAATTGATTGTTTCTGACTATTTGATTAATTGACATTATATTACTTAGCAGCTTAATCCAAGATTATCAAATTACTGTGACAAAGATAGAAGGGAGGTTAGAGACTAAATTAAAACTCTAGGTAATATAATGATTGGTTTGCATTTGCTGTAGTTAAAAGGAATAAATAATATTCTATCACTATTGTATTAGATAAATATAATGTGATTATTGACCACATAACCATGCAGAAACTAGATAGCCATCAGTATTTTAATACTGGCATTAAGTAATTAATAAATAAAAAGTGAAATTTTATTTAGTTGCAAATACATTTTACAGCTACTTCTTAAAATTATAATTACATTGGGGGAAAAAATATGGGAAGTGGACAGCTGTAAGATGAAGTAGAAAAGCCCTAGAATCTTTAATTCCCTGTATTATTGCTTCTGCCAAGTTTATCACTTTGTACCTTAACGAAACTGTACTTTTCAGACTGGCTTGACCATAGTTTTTAATCCTCTGTTTTTAACATATTATTACTCCCTCCTTGATATAAAATCCTAGACCTTTTCTTATTTCTTCTTTTTCTTCCTTTTTAATGAAATATTTTTTTTTAACTATGAGCTTGAATGTCTTCTAAACTTAACTTAGGTGGAATAATGTATTTTTTATGTCTTTTAATATTATTACTCCCAGATATAAAGAATGAAAGAGATACATACACAAGATAAATAGTGATTTCAGCAGAAAAAAAATTGTCTTTATAAAAAGCATAAAACTAAAATAATAGGGAAAGTGTATTGATTGAATAAACAAATCATAGGTCTCATTGCAAATTAATTTATCCATAGTAGCATAACTAGAAACAAGGAGACCCATGTCATACTTCACAGGATATTAGAAATACTCTAGAGATACACCCCAGCAAAGAAAATAATGAACATAGAAAAAGGATTTGTCCTGTGTCACAATACAAGAAATAAAATTTAAGCCTTATATTTTCCAAAACCATGCATTCTTCCATGCAAACTTTCCAGATTGACAGTCTTTTCTTAAAAATAAGAAAGAAAGAAATGATCCCTTGCTTTGTTGAAAATTTTGATTTGGTGATTTGAGTTTTTAAATTTTATTTAAATTTATATTTTTTATCTGTCATAGTGCACGATGGCAGTTTTCTTTTTTGTCACTATAGTTATATTAAATGTCTCACCCCCCAAAATGTAGTTATGAATTAAACAAACAATTTTCACTTTGTAAAGTGACATACTATCTTCTATATGTACAAAGATCTATTCCAAAATGACATTGGAAAGGACACACATTAATATTTGATGCTTGCTGCTGTCCATTACCAGAAGCAGGGTGGCTCCCAGTGCAATGCAGAACAGGATGGGCCCAGCTAGGTCGGTTTCATTCATAATGCTGCCATCTGCTGCCTTCAGTGGGTTTAACACTGTCAAAGTTTTTTGCCATATGTGATCAAAATTAATTCCAAGTTCTGCAAAAGAGGAAAAAAAGAAGATAATATAATAATAGAAAAATAAACATCAGTAATATTCTTTAATTAGAGTTAAGATATCTGTTTAATTTATTTAGCACTTTAATCTGATATACCTTCATAATCTAAAATTCTATGTAATATATAACCATAAATAAATTTTTAAAAATAGATTTTTATTCCTAATGAACTAAAATAAATATTTAGAGAAATAATTCCACCAAGGAAAAATTTCTCTGACTTATGCAACAAATACAAGCTTAAAATCAAGCTGAAAATTGGGAAATAGTCATTCTACAGGAAAAAAATATAATAAAATAGTAGCTAACAGACCAAAAGTTCCATCTATTGCCCGTTTTGA